CAGCCAGCATGGGAGTTGAAGTCCACTCATCTTAAAGTGGCCAAGTTTGGACAACACTGGAGTACACCAACCCTGCCAGTTCTTACTGGACAGGCAGAAACCACTGGAGAGAGGCAATCTCTCAAATAACCTGTCCCTATGCTGTGTGTAGTTTTATAAATGATAACCAGGACCTTGAATTGCAAACTGGCAAGCAGTATAGCTTGCAAAGCATAGTGTCATACCAGCATACTGAGGCATGGCCATCATTGCCCACACTGCTGCATTCCAGACCAGTGGAAGCCTCCAAGTGGTCTTCAAGGGCTGTAGACTGCATTGTAGTAGTCAAGCTGCAAGATGAATAGGGCATTAGTCTGAAGGACCTTCTATTTCAGGAAGATGAAGCTATGCACAGGCTTTCTTGGCCACAGCTACCACTTGCTGTTCAAACAGGAGCTGTGAGTCCAGATTGTGTATCTATCTTGAATGGGGAAGTATAACCCATCCACGATTTGAGATGGAAAATCACCAGGTCTGGGGGAGCCACTCAGACTCAGTCTTGGTAGGATTACGTCAAAGTTGGTTTCTCCCCTTCCAGACCCATAGCCTCTAGGCACTGGGACAGGCCCTCAACAGCATCATTTGGTCAGCTCCAGTCAAGAGATATAACTGGGTATCATCAGCATATTGATGATTCTGAACCCTAAACCAGCAGATGACCTCACCCAGCAATGTCATGTAGATGTTAAACAGGAAGTGAGAGAGTGTCGAACCCTGTGGCACCCCACAAAGGAGGGGCCAAGGGAGCGACCTCTCCTCTCTGTCCGCACTGACTAGAACTAGCTGCAAAGCCAGGAGGAGAACCAGCATAAAATGGTGCCCCAACTCCCAAACTCCTCAGCCAGTTCAGAAGGATAAAGTGATCAATGGTACTGAAGGCCACTGAGAGATCAAGAAGCACAAGAATGAATGCACCACCCCCATCCCAGCTCTACCAAAGTTCATTAACACGTGCGACTAACAGTGTCTCCATACTAAACCCTGGCCTAAAACTTGACTGAAATGGTTCTAGACAATCTTGTTCCCGGGTTCTCCATAACTGAAGCTTGACCACCTTCTCAACCATTTTCTTCCTTTTCAAAAAGGGAAGGTTGCAGAATTGTTGGGTTCAAGGATGGCCTGTATGTAGTAAATGTAATGCTACTATAATTTTCTTCAAATTCAAGGATTTCTGCCAATTTGACTCAGCAGAGGGGAAATTTCTGTGATACAATGTTACGGTTAATTGCATATGAAAATGTGCAAATTAGGTACATTTGCATACTAGAAAAAGCTTAGGGAAATGATGGGATCTTGTTTGGAAAAATATTGATGAATTCTCATGCCCACAAAAAATGCCCACAAATACATATTTTGTGCAACTGTAAAAAAAAAAAAAGTATTCACAGAGGGATAAGAAGATGGGAGAGAATAAGTCTGTGCTAAAAAAGTGCAACATAAAGTAAAATAGAATAATTTTTCTATCCTTTACAGCAATACTCACAGGCTGTGTTCAAACAGCACTCTAAACCCTGAAGCTTGGCTAAGAAAACACAAGTCCTGTGATCACTTAACACTCCATGATCAAACAAATGCATCAAGTTATGGGTGCTATTGTGTGAATCAAGCCAGGTTATGTTGGCTTGATTCACACAACGTGCTAAGACAATGGCAGGTTGCTCACAGTATGTTGAACAACTTCATTTTAACCTAGTCTAGTACATTATATGAACCCAGTTTTGAAATCTCTGAAGTTTTTTTATTTACCACTCCTTTCCTTCCCCATCATTATGACTCTTCCTTCTTCTCTTTCTCCTCCTCCTCCTCCTCTCCCCCATTTTTGTGGGGTCATGGGCTTGCCCTCAAGCATAACCATGCCTCCCTCTTCATTCTTAGTGGCCTCATCTGGGCTCCATTTTTGTTGGCACTCAGCCACTTGAATGTGCTAATGGAAGGACTTAAGAAAGGCTCTCACGCCTGAGTATACAAAGCTAGCTAGTAAGGACTATCAGGAACTTAAACAAAGAGAATAACAAGAAACTAACCAGAGAAAAGATGCCCTGAAATGGTTATGATTTAAGGCTGTATCTGATTACTGGGAACCTTTCTAAAAGGGCTTATATCCTGCATTTCAAACAGTGTCATCAGCAAAGCCCCGGTAATGCACTATAAATTTTTAATGATTCTATTTTCCTCCACACCTTTTGAAAATGTTTTCCCACCCTTTTCTTGTTTCATCTGTTCTAATGTTTATGTGTTTGTCTTCCTTACACCCCACCCCAAATGCCTATTGGCTCACATTTCTTCTAGCTCAGCCTGGAAAAGAACACTCAGTGCAGTCATGTCAGCACCCATGGAACACTCCCGCGATTTCATTGCTAATATGCTTCACAGCTATGTTGATCTACCCCTATTAACAGAAAGCAACTCTTCTTGGATTCTCAGCATTTGTTTATGAATATATCAGGGAAGAGCAAAATCCAGGAAGTTCTTGGGTATGAAAATGTTCCCTTAATTCAGAGTAGCCATGCACTGAAGGTTGGATGGACTGTTAGGGTCTATAGAGAAGTAGCATCAGGAAGTAGAAGTTTGGACATCTGCCTAAAACCCAATGTGATCCTATCCTACCCCTTTCACAGAGTTATCTTTAGCAAGATTTATTGCAATGAAAGGGATGAAGTACAAGAATTTCAGCAGCTAAACTATTTCCCATTTAGAATCAATATATCCCATACAATTTGAGGGTGGAGGCATTTTGGTTTTCTAACAACTTTCCTGTGATACAGCAAAGAGGTGGGTCTTTTCATTAATAACAGAAAAGCTTGCAGTTGGCTATTTCCATAACAGTTTCCTAAAACTTTATCAGTTTGGGAACTGTACATTATAAATAATGTATGAAAATGTTCCCCAAAACTTATTTTAGAGTAGCCATGCCATAAAAAGAGAGAGGGGCTCAAAAATTATGCTTTGGGATATTGTATGAATAGTTCATAAATAGATCCCTCTTGAAACTGCCTTAATCAAAACAATATTTTGAATGTGCTGGAATAACCAACTCTGTTAGGCTTGCTGAAACCCCACCATGGTGCACAGAAGGCATTTTAGACTTCACTGCATTTTTTAAGAGTTTCACAGCTAAAGAGCAATTGGCCTCTTGGGGAATGATTTGCAAATCAGCAGACCAATGAAGAGAAGTACAAATTGAAAATATATTCATGCAGTGTGCATACTGGGATGTAGAAATGTTGTTTCCTTGCTTTTTGAAGGAGGGCAGACAGATTATTAAAGCACGCAATTCTGGAAACTTCCAGTGAGTGGTTGGGGAATTGATGACTGGTAAGAGAGAAATAAAGTGATTTCTGATTGGCTGTCTGACCACATTACCCACTCACTTCTCTTTGGGGGGAATTTTATCAGTGATACGTGATACAGACCACAGACAGGGTGCTAACAGTTGTGGGACTAATGTGAGTCTGATGTTTCAGCAACACAAAG